AATGCACTTTCCAAGGGGCATTGTTTATTGGCCAGAAAAAGTGGGCACAACCAAAAAACTCAGTTGAAATGAGGGTAACAAACCCCAGAGACTTTCCCTGTCATAAATAGGGGAAGAGGATACACCCTCATCTATGACCCCTTCTTATATACCCTTCTCCACTGCACCGTGTGACAGGCAGCAATATAGTAACCCTTCACAGGCTGCAGTGCATTTACCATGGCATGTGTATATTCCCCACCCGCTGGAAGATGGCCCTGACTGTCTTCAATCAGCAAGCCTCCCTCAACCTGGGAAATACAGACTGTACTCCTGTGGGTTCTGCTTGTCGTATGGTGCACTGAAAAAGCATAGGGCTGCAGAGCCATATACCACCATGTCAGCTGGGGTTGGTCTCCATCATTTACAGCCATTCCAGAGGCCCATGGTTGGTGATCAAGGTATATGGTGCTCCAGGAAGTACCTCAAGGCCTTGACCACCTATGTTACTGTGTAACCTATAGCAACTCAATGTGGCACCCATCCCCTTCTGAGCCACATAAAGAGGGGAATGAACCTACAGAACTCTTGGCTAAGAGAGGTCTTTTAGCTCAGCCAATAGAGGCCTATGGCTTTAGATCCAGAGATCCCAGATTCAGTGCCTGCTGGCGATGATCCATTCAGGGAGATGGTGTTACAGGATCTAGCGCTCCTTCTGTCTGCAGGAAAGAGTTCCCTGCTTAGGTATAACACAGGATGCTCCCATCAACCAGGTCCTGGGAGAGTGGCCCATCTAGGGTGACCAGATGTCCCGATATTTGGTGCTTTTGCTTATATAGGCACCTATTACACCCCACATCCTGTCCTGATTTTTCACATTTGCTATCTGGTCACCCTAGGCCCATCTGTTGGCAGGATCCACTCCTTCTGCATAGCACCCAGGGCCGGCTCCAGGCACCAGCTTCTCAAGCAGGTGCTTGGGGCGGCGGTTCCGGACAGGGGCGGCAGTTCCAGGTATTCGGCGGCAATTCGGCGGACGGTCCCTCACTCCGCCTGGGAGTGAAGGACCTCCCGCCGAATTGCCACAGCAGATCGCGATCACGGCTTTTTTTAGATCGCGATCGCGGCTTTTTTTGTTTGTTTGTTTGGGCTGCTTGGGGCGGCCAAAACCCTGGAGCCGGCCCTGATAGCACCAGCTCACTGCAGATAATGGGTCTGATTTCCAAAGGTACCCACACAAGCCAGGGATCAGTGAACATTCTGGGTGCCCTACTGTGCAGGACAGTTAATGGGGCTGTTGTCATGGAAAACTGGGATGACAACATCAATCGTCCCCATGCTGAACCTCTATAAAGAGGTGCAAAAACACTGTTCACAGAAGTGGTGTGACTGCCTCAGGGCGGGTACTGTACAACTCTTCCCTCTCTACCACAGCTCTGGCTGCAAAAACCACAGCAGAGCTGATCATTTGCATACCTGACCATTCTGAGGCTCTCCGTGGTGTTTTGTATGAGGGAGGCTATTGAAGTGCCTGTTCATACTTTGAATTTGAGTAACTAGTCTGGATAAAAACACCTAGCTAGTCTTTGGATCCTATAATTCTACAGTCAGAGTAGAGCAAAAGTATCTGAGGGCATGTCTACACTACAAACCTAAGTCAACCTATATTAGGTTGACTTACAGACACAGCAGTAATTACTGTGGTAGCGCATGTCCACCCTACGCTCCTTGGGTCGGTGGTGCATGTCCTCAGCAGCAGCGTTGGGAGCTGAGAGCCCAGTCTCAGCTCCTGCCAGGAGTCTGGCTGCCCTTGGGCTTCTTGCCCACCCCCCCTTTCCCACCCGGCGCTTGGGGAAGCTGCCCAGGGCTCCTCGCCACTGAGGTGTAGGGTCCAGCCACCCTGGATTCTCGGCCTCTCCCTGCCCACTCCCCTAGTCATGAAATTGACAAGGCTGCCCAGCTCCTGGCAGGGAATAGGCAGGGGGCCACTCAGGCTTCTCACCCCAGGGGTCCAAATCCGCCCTTGCTTCTCACCTTGGCTCCCAGCTGGGAGCAGGGTCCAGCCACCCAGCTCTTCAGGGGAGCAAGGGCTTTCTTGTCCATTTCACAGCTCCTGCCATGAAATGGACAAGAAAGCCCATTTAAGGGACTCTGTCTGCATAGACATTGTGTTGCCCTAACTACACCGGCATAAGTTCATGCCTCTGGTAGAGGTGGAGTTATAATGCCGGTGTAGTAGGGCACTTACATCACTGGGAGGAAGACTGTAGTATAGACACTGACATAGTTAGGTTGACATAAGCGGCCGTATGTCGAACTAACTGTGTAGTATAGACCAGCCCTGAGCTATGCTTCCACTGGGAGCTGGTTCACAGCTGTGCCATCACCAGAAAGGCATAGCTAGCTAGTCCCAACATGGCTTTGGCCATTCAGATCTTATGATTCCTATGGTGAGGAGGATCATATAAGAATATATATAGAAAGACAGGGCAAGATTTATCCCTGGCATAAATCCATTAAAAGTCATGTCTGCATTAGTGTTAAATCCCTACATGGGTGAACATTTTTAAGAAATTGTTTCCCATGAGAATAGGTCTGTTAATTTGAAGGTATCAGAATCATTACAGACAGTGTCTGTCAGATCACATCAGCCTTTCTAGGCTAACACTTTAGGAGAAGGAGTCAAAGTAATCTGACAGAAGCTAAAAGAAGCTTTTCAGAGGCTGTTTACACAGTAATGGCTGCAGGATCAGGTTCGAACAATAACTGGGTGTTTCTGGGCACAGCCATCATGTTTATGGCATTGATCTACATCTTCTCTCTTTTTACTCACTCTTAAAAGATTGAGTGTCACCCATTACCTGTTACTTCAGTTATGGGGTTCTCTTCATGCAAGGAGGCTGCCAGTACAAACCAAAAACACGACTATTGCTTTATACCAGGGTTAGGCAAACTACAGCCCGTGGGCTGGATCCAGCCTGTCAGGGCTTTGGATCTGGCCAGCAGGATTGCCATCCCCGTGGCGCTGCAGGCCCTGCACCACTGCTGGAAGCAGCGCCACGTCTCTGCAGCCCATGGGGGGGCACACAGAGGGCTCTGTGCACTGCCCTCGCCTCCAGGCGCTGCCCTCTGCAGCTCCCATTGGCCGGGAATGGGGAACCACAGCCAATGGGAGATTCGGGAGAGGTACCCGCAGAGGAGGGCAGCATGCAGAGCCCTCTGCCCCCCCTCCCCCAGGGATGTGCTGCTTCCAGGAGCAGCACGGGGCCAGGGCAGGCAGGGAGCCTGTCTTAGCCCCGCTGCATGCCACTGCCACCCTGGAGCCACTCCAGGTAAGCGGTGCTGGGCAGGAGCCTGCACCCTAAACCCCTCCTGCACCCCAACTCCCTGCCACACTCTGCACCCTCTCCTGCAACCCAAGGCCCTGCCCTGAGCCCTCTTGTACACCCCAACCCCCTGCCCTGAGCCCCTTCCTGCACACCACATCCCCTCCTACACCCCACACTCCCTGCCCCAGCCCTACATTCATGGCCCTGCATACAATTTCCCCACCCAGATGTGGCCCTCAGACAAAAAGTTTGCCCTCCCCTGCTTTATACAGTGACACAGAATATCTGACTCTATTGCATAATTGCTTAAGTGTCTATTGTTCAGATTGTTTCTTCTGACACTTTAGTTGCCAAGAATCTCTTTCTGAGAACACTGTAGTTCCTTTCTTACACCTGTGCTTACCAAACCTGCCTCCTTTCTGGTTGGGCATGTGGATGGAAAAAAATCCACCCTGCTCTAGCTTTAGGACTCTGAGGTCTATAGGTTATTCCCATTAATGTCCCTGGAGTGAGGAGATGCATAACACCACTGCTGGATTTGTATTCAAGGCTGGTGAGGTGGTGTTGCAGAGAGAGACTCACTGGCACAGCACCTCCTGCTGGTGATCCTGGGAATTAGCTCAACTTCAGCCCAGAGTGCCTTCTGCAGGCCAGTGGCTCACCTGCCTCAGGCTCCATGTCCCACCCAGACCCCAGTGCCCTTTACCTCAGGGTTCTGCCCTGACAGTACCCCCACTCTAGGTCTCCCCTCCTATCCCCACCTTGCCTCAGTGGCTACTGCCAGTCATCACCTAGCCCCAGCTCACTGGAGAAGACAGGAGTCTGTAAACCACTCATCACTGGAAAAGGGGGTTTGGACCAGCTGCCTCTGCCTATCTCCAGTACCTTTCTTTAGGCCTGCAGCCCAGGGGTTTACCAGGCTAGAGCTCCCCATCTCCCTTGCCGTATTCCCCAGCACTGCTGCAGTTCAGGTACCCTTTTCTTCCAGGCAGCCAGGTCTTTCTCTTTCCACACCTAAAGAGAGACTAACTGAGCCCCTCGCTCACAGCCCTTTTATAGGGCCAGCTGTGGCCTGATTGGGGCATGGCCCCAGCTGTGGCTGCTTCCCCAATCAGCCTAGCCTTTTCTCTCTGGAGCGGGGTAACTGCCCCAATATGTACAGGTGGGTATAAGGGAAAATGAAGTAATGACTGGGTCTGACTGTTCAATAATGCACTTTTTCTCCTAATATCTCGTATAGTACTGGGATGCCTGCAGACACTGACATGGCAACCTCAGCTGCTTTCTTGCAGCCCAGAGCTCCATTTGCTTTTGACTGGATTTCCTAGAATTGTCACAGCTAATCAAACAGATGACCTTAGGTATCGTGACTACCCCGCTTTTTGAAAGAGGAGATGTCTCTCTACAGTATTTATCCTCATGGATCATGGACAAATTGCCTTAGGTTGCTATGGGCAATATCTGTAGATAAATTTAATCCACACGGAGGAAAAGGCAGCCAAAGAGCTTGTGAGATATGGACTGCAGCCATGCTGCACTGATATATTTCTAAATAAGAGGGGCTGTGGTGTCGTGCTGTGAAGCCATCAGAAAGATTTCATGATGCAAGATAAGATAGATTGTCACTTCCTCTTCTTGTGCTTTCTGGGGCTGCGCTGCTGAAAAGGCTACAGAGTCCACTCTGACAAGCCTGCTGCCAAAATGGACCATGAAGTGCTGGGGAGCATTGTCCTCCTAGCAATAGTCAGCCTTATCAGTGTTCTCCAAAATGGTAAGAAAAGATAACCATTTATTTTAGGGGGAAAGAGGAAGATGAGAAAGAGGGTAGAGAATTCCTAGTATCTATTGTGCATTGAATATGAAATGTAAATTGACCTATTTTTAATACGTTTTTCTCCTGTTGTATATGGCTCTGTGTGTATATATGTGTGTGTGCATATATGAGGAAGCTTGGTTTCAGAACTTCTTTGATCCCCTTCCCTTTTTAGCATACAGGTTTTTTGTACTAGTGGCTGGCTATATTAGCGGTGATATGATACTGATCTTTGATTTTCTATAGTAAGGTTATTAAATATATGTCAGTATTAGCAGCCACTATCTGCACCTCTGTAAATATGTCCAAGAGCAGAGACCTGGTTTTGGATGTGAAAGAGGTTGGGAAGTTGAGCGACTGACATGAAACGTGGATCAGATCCTCAGCGGGTGTAAACGAGTATGATCAAGAGTACTGTACTGAATTATACCAGCAAAGATTCTGGCCTGGTTACTTTTTCAGGTTAACTAGTTATCCTACTTTCCTGAAACTCATTCTTCCGTCTTTCAGTTTGCTAGTTTTAACCCCTTCATGGCTGAGAAAGTTATAAACATCCTTCATCAGAGGAATTTGATATTTCAGAACTTATCTTATGCTATCTCTTTAGCTCAGTTTCTTTTAAGGTTCCTTAGGCAAACTAAATGTTTTTCTTCTGCAAACTTTTTACTTGGCACTCATGTCTTATACATATTCGATCCCCTAAAACTTGACACAGGAGACACACAGATGGGTGACTTTTTAAAAAAAAATGATTTCATTTATGTTGCCCCAAGTTCCAGGAGAATTGTGAGATGGCAACCTGAGACATGGATACCTGACCTCCTCATTATGGGCCTCATCCAAAGCCCAGTGACGTCAGTAGGAAGATGACCCTGGTGCTCAATGGGCTTTGGATCAGGCACCACGTGCAGTTTTAGGAACTGAATTCATGTAGGGGTAGATCATTTTTGGGCTACTTAGTTTGGCAGCGGGGGTGGGTGCAGCACAAGCAGAGCTGCACCATTCAGAGTGAAAATGCAGCTGAGCAGTCTGACAGAGAGCTCTTATCTCTCACAAAAGCAATGTGTTTGTGGTTTATACCCAAATTCTGCCTTCAGATGAAGGCACTACGCGTTTGCAGGAACAGGCTTTGAGATGATGATCTTGGAGCAGGGACTGTGCCTTACTCTGTTTTGTACAGCACTGGCAAGTAAATAACCATCATCAATTGTGTTGTGCATTCACCTTTCATGGCAGAATTTGGCCCCTGGTAATCAAGGCACATCCATTAATAGATGTGCCCAGGTATGTTTCCAGTTATTTTACCAGAGGAGTTTGGGGAGACATAGTCCAAAGACCTATATTTCCAATACAATTCCTTTACTTAATCCATCCAGGAAACTTGTCTTTTCTTGTTCCACTCCATGCACATTTTATATTGCATTGAAACCTGACCATCAGATTATTGATCCAAACCCTTGGGTCTGGCAAGAACTATGCTTGGCACAGGATCCAGGTAAGACAAGTTGGGGGGCGGGAAGGGGAAATGTGGTTTGAAAGCCATCTTTCCCCTCCCCTGCTTCTGGGGGCAGCAAGGTTTAATTTGGCTCCTGGTGCAAATTAGAACTGCCTGAGGGGTGCTATGGTCACACCTCGGCACACCCCAGTACAGCTATATGGTGTGGGGATGTGCAGTAGATCTCTACAGGTGAGTCTTCTCCTATATCTTCTTTGCTCCACGAAGTGGCACAAAGGAGACGTAGCAAGAACCAAGGTGTGTAACCCGTGTGTGTGTATAAAAATAAATGCATAATCATAAAAGTGGTAAAGTGAGCTGAATTTGCATTTCATACCCGGAACCAGCACTACCCCATATTTACCTACGAGGTCACCCAAAGGAAAATGGGATTCCTTGGAACGTGTTCAGATGTTATTAGCACACACTCAGGGCATGCAACACACTGCACTTGACCCTTGTGTGTAACTCACAATGGTCCCGTCTCTGTGTTCTGTTGCGGCTCTCTGCCACCAATCAAGGGCAGTGTAAGGGCAGACTTGTATACCTTCCTCCTCCCCCAAAGTCTTTTATCTATGGTGTTAGCCCCATAATGAAAGTGATGATAAATGGAGTAAAAAATAGCTTATAGGAATATGAGATTAAAAAACAAGCAACACACCTGGGAGAAGTTATGTTAATGTTCCAGTTCAGCAAAGTTCTTAGGCATGTTTGGGTGGTTCCATTTGGATGAGAAATCAGTTTCACACAGAAATATACCCAAAGTCCTGTTTCACTGAACAGCAGTAGAAACATCCATTACACAGGCTGTTCCAGAAATCCCAAGCCAGCTACTCCAGCCAGTGCTGTGCCCAGGCAGAGGCAGTCTCTCTGCCTCTGCTTCTTAACAAGGTCATATGGCAACTGTATCTAGCTATCTATACTGCCACTCATCGCCACAGCATCTGAACACCTTCCATGTAAAATTTATATCAATAATGAAGTCCCGAGTGGACTTCAATGGAGTCTCTCTGGCATTTCTGCCTTTACGGGGTCAGAATTTTAATTGGGATAGGCTGGGGTGGGACTTTTTGGGGAGGAGAGGGAGAGGGTTTAATGGGTTGTTAAGGGTATTTGTATTGTGAGTGTCACTTGAGGTGGAAAGGCTGTCTCAAAGAGAGAGGTTTTGCAGTATTTCCTAAAGATGGTCAGACTCTGGATTCATCTGATCACCTCTGTAAGTGTTTCATAGATGAATCCCCACAACAGAGAGAGCTTTGACCCCAGCTCTCCCATGCTTCATCCTGGGCTTTGAGATCTGCACTGTCCCAGAAGGGTGCATCAGTCACAGTGGTTCAAGATTGAAATTAATTCTTTGATGTGTCTGGGGCTTGATCCATTAATTGCTTGGAAAATTGGGACCACAGCCTTAAACTGTCATTGGAAGCTAACTGGGAACCAGTGGACAAATGTGGGCACAGGCCTGATGTTCTTACAGTGGCCTGAGCCATGCAGGGGGGCAGCCACATTTGGCATCAGCTGGAGCCTATATATTGTCTTCATATTCAACTTTATGTACAGTGAGTTACAGAAATCCAGCCTGGAGATGACAAATGCACAGATCATTGTGGCCAGGTTCACGAGGAAGTGGTGAAGTTTCCCAGCAACCTGGGAGGTGAAAGAAAGTATTCTTGGCAACTGATGCTACCTGGTTGTCCACACTTAGCAAGGAGTTGGCCAGGACCCAGAGGCTTCACACCACTTTCGTGAATAGGAGCTGCATGCCTTCAATGGAGACAATGTCTGGGCCAAGTGTTTCATCTTTCCAGCCAGCATCACTTCATTCTGACCTGGGAACCCCCATTAGCACCACACCCTCCCCTTGGCCACATGGACCTAGCTCCCTGCTTTGTGTCCTGCTGTTGTGCACTACTCCAGGATTTCAGATGCACCTACTGTTGGGCACAAAGGGAAGTGCTTTAGCACAACCATTTATTTTCAGAAGTCTGTGATTCCATACAAGACTCCTGATGGCAGGCCAGCAGCACCTTTTTGGCATAACACTACATCCATTTGTCATTGCTGAACTACTCTTATGACTCAGGTCAAAGTGTGGTAGTGGATGGCCCTCCCAGGATATACAAGCGTCAGTGTTTAAAAACCAGTTGGGTCTTTGATCCTCATGGAAAGCAGGCTAGATGTGACTCTAGTGTCTAGTAGTAAATTTAAATCTGTGTCCATTTATAAATTAGCAAAATTATAAGGGTGGGACAGGTGAGGATGTGCAAAAGAAAAATCTGTTCCACTTTTTTGCAAGGGTTCATGGTAGAGGTCCTTTGAGATCCAACACAAGCCCAAAACAATTCAGGGGTGTGTGTTTGAGATCTCTGTACCATAGATGTACAACACAGATCACTGATACCTAACAGCCAAATCCTCAGGTTCCTTCTCAGCTTTTCTTCACCCCTGACTCAGAGGAACTCTCACTGATTTTAAGTGGAAGTTTCCCAATTAAGGGCTAAGTAAAAGCTGAGGGTAGCTGCCACCCAGACCCCTGTTTCCACCCAAATGAATGGAAATGGGAATCTACCACACAATGGTCACTGTGATATAGCTAAGCTTTGATCTTCACTCCATCAGTTATGGCCGTTTCATCTGCAGGTGCCTGCCCTAGCAAAACCAGCCCAAATCCGCTGTGTTGTTAATCCAGCCTTGAGATGGTGCTGTGACCAGTAATCCCATATGGAAGCCAATGAGATAAAGGGCAAAACACCCTCCATATCACCGGGGAGAGGACGGATTCTCAGAGCTCAGTAAAATCTGATGTCTCTTCCAATGAGGGGTGACAGTTGGGCTTAACACAACATGTCAGGAATGTGAAAGGTAACTCAGGGAAGGGTTTGAGGCATGTTCCCCCAGTTTGATTATGGAGCTGTGTGATGTGGAGACAAGATAGCAAATAAACTTTTTCCTTTGTGAGCACTGGGCTCAGAAGTGAGGCCCCCCAGAAAAACATGTAAGCACTTCAGAAGGGACTACATGTCACATCTGTGAACTAAAGTGCTTGGTTAAACCTAGATGAGACTGTGTTGGCCCAAATTCTGCTTCTGTTTACACCAGCACACCCTTCTGGTGCCAAGAGGGATACAGGGCTGTCGAGTGAAGAACGCAGCCCGTTATACTGAGCATGCACAACGTGTCCAGTTTAACCCTCAAAACAAACCCTGCCTTTCTTTAACAGCCTTTTTTGCAACCAAAGTGGAGCATGAAAGCAAGAACTATAACGGCAAGACTTTCCAGCGGGCTGGATCTTCGGCCTTTGAGCGTGTCTTCACTGCCAAGTGAGTATGCAAACCACACAGGAGGGGCAGGGAAGAAAGCAAGACCTTCGCTGTTGAGTTTAATCTTTGCCTTCGCTTGTGGCCTGATCCAAAGTCCACTGAAGTCAATGGAAAGGCCTCACTGATGTCGGCTCAGGCCCTCGTACTTTATTATCATTATTATTTATTTTATAATTGTGCCTCGGGGCGCCAAGCAAGATCAGGAATCTATCATAGTAGGTATTGCACAAGCACATAGTAAGAAAGAGTCCCTGCCACAAAGAGTCTACAGTCTAAACAGGCAAGATAGAGGTACAGAGAGGTGAACTGACCAACAGGAGGTCAGTGGCAGAGTTGGGAATAGAATTCTGGTCTCTCAAGTCCCTGACCCGTGCTCTAGCCACTAGACCAGGCTGCTTTGTTCTTGCGGTCACTTGTGATTGTCTTTGAAAAGGGGAATTTCACTGCCACCCAAGACAGAAAAGAAAATTAAATAATTATTTATTTGTTAAGCACTGGCAATGTGCTCTGTACTTTGCAATACATAAATATACTCCCCTGCATGGGTGTGTATCCCAGGCCCTATAAAGGAATATTTCCCTCTACAGCAACATTCCCTTATGAACAAAGTGGCGTAAATAATTCCTTTTTAGTAAGCTATAGAAAAAAACCACAGGCAGATTTTACAAGAGCCTCGTCTTTGCTGTGATTCCCATCCTCTCTTTTGCCTTATTATTGAGTTTTGACTGTCAATAATTTGATTAATATGGACCGGGGCTACAAGAGTTGCCCAAGCTGATACAGTGCATCAGGCATTTAATATATGAGACATGATTAACCGCGGCAGTTCAGGAGATGGATTTCACACACGCCATCCATTTTGCACTGCTGTCTATTTCTGACATGGTGGATGGATGCCACCCCTCGTTGTCCCGAGGTAACAGGGAGGTAAATCTCCAGATGCTCCATATGTAAGCTGGTAACTGTGTTTTCAAGGCAGAAGGATATTTTTCCTGTTCTCAGTATGTTTTTAACTCCCCCTTTTTAATTCCTTCCTAGCCAAAACTGCAGAGATGCATACCCGACGTTTCTTGTTGTGCTTTGGTGTGCTGGGCTGCTTTGTAGCCAAGGTAACACGTACTTCAACTCTCTCTATATATATAATTTGTGTGTCTTCTGAGGTTCAGTTTAATATTGTCTCTTAAAAAGGCTCACGACCTGACCCCTCCTCCCCACGCTTCAGCAAGGGACAGATTGAGGTTACTCTGCCAGATTGCAGAGAGGCAAGGCCTGCAGCCTCGAGTTGCTAATGTATTCGCTGCTCACTCTTCTGTGAGTTACATTACAGACAGGGATGGCTCATGGTTAAACATGCTCAGATTGGTCAGGAACCCGGGGCACCAGTTCCCAGCTGTGGGGTGGACGAGGCAGTGAGGGTTCCTAATGGAAGCGTGGTTATTTTGGGAGACCCCTTTCAGAGCACAGGGCCCAAAGTAGCCAATCCATTCAACCTCCTATAATCCACCACTGGTGGCAGATTGGAAGGACACTGCCAAAGGAGATTACTGCTGTCAGACTGCTGCTGGGAAATGGTGCCCAGCGTGTAGGGGTGTTTGCGAAAGCTGCATTGCTCATTGCTGCCTTCTAGACTAGCCTTCATTTCTAACTTTAAGCATGTGAGTAGCAGTCCCATTAAATTCCGTGGGAGTATTCATATGCTTAAAGTCAGGCACACACTTGAGTGCCTTGCTGAACCCCAGGGTAAGTCATTGTTTCTGGGTGACAGAAGACTCTTGGCTGGGCTCAAGTAGGGGCTTGGCCTGCTGGCCTGGGAAAAGCTAGCGTTAAAACACAAAGAAAACCTTTTTTGTGCTGAAAACTGAATTTCGGACCACAGTACGGTGCCTGGCCTGCTGCTGGGGTAGTGCAGTGACCTGCTGCCCTGTACTCAGGGCTTCTGGGGAAACCAGAACATATGCCAGATTGTGCTCTTGGGCGCATGCAGTGCAGCGCTCATTGAAGAGCAGAGCATGGCCCTGCGTGTGGGCCCAGCACTGGTCCTCATGCTTTGCTGGAGCACTCCTATTGACTTTAAGGTATAACTGAGGACAGAATTTGGCCCACAATGTTTTCTGCAAAGGTGGCGGGAAATATCGTGCAATTCTCCACATAATTTATTTTCTTCAATTTCTGGGTCCCACCGCTCGTCCTGCTTCTCAGAATGCAGACTTTCCCCAGTTTTCCCATCCAGCATGAACAGCAATACGGACCTCTATGGATAATGAGGCCTACATGGGAGACTTGGATGGTAGCTTGTAATATGTGTTGCTTTATCTTCCTTTCAGCTGCTGCTGCTTTTGCTGGATTGATATACTTGTTTGTGAGGCAAAAGTACTTTGTTGGCTATCTGGGAGAGAGGACACAAAGGTAAGAATTCCCTGGAGCGCTTTACAAGTGTTTTGGGTGATTAACGTTTTCATGGGTAGGGCATCTTGTCACCCTTCTTGTTCAATATGTATATGGGTACGTTTTCACTGCAGAGTTAACTTGAGTTATCTACACTTGAGTTACTCCTCTCAAGTTAGTTTAGCTCAAGTGATAGCAGCCACATTGTGAAATAACACTGGAGTTGCTGTGTCCACACTGGCACTACATTCACTCATTTATGACACTAAGACTTCTGGGGGCCCATCCCATGGTTCTTAGCGCTGTAGTAAGATGAGACACTCTATGAATTCTTTCACAGTGTATTGTGGGAGAACTTGTCTGTCCTTTCTGGGCACACAGGGGTAATTGTGGGAAGGCATTGGAGGACTAGCAGCACTCAAGCGGCCTGCATCCACACTGCAGAGTAGTTGTGTTAGCAGCAGATGAGTTGTGCTAACTCCAGCTTTACACTCTACCCCCTGGCAGGCCAGCCAACTCAAGTTAAAAACATTGCTGCACTCAAATTAAGGGTTTGTGTGTGTGGATGGGAGTAGTTAGAAGCAACACTCGAGCTATCACTTGAGTTAGCGTTGCAGTGAAGATAAGCCCTATTTCTGCCTACCCCAGCTGGTGTGTTTGAATGTCTTACCCAGTGTCTGGTTGAGACTGGGCTTAGATGAGGGCAAAATGGCTGACGCTCAACCCAGACAAGACCAGGGATAAGCCTATTTTGAATGATTTAAGATGGAGCCGAATATGTTTGCCTGCTTCTTAAGCAATGTTTCATGCTAGGAGCACCCTAGAACTCTGTAGTCAGGCCTGGTGGTGTTTTGATCTATGAAACCCTAAATGGCCTGGAACCTGCCTAACTGAGAATTCACCTCTCTCTCCCTGTGTTGCACTTGGTAGAGTTACTAGAGCTAATGGGTCCCTGGTTTAAAAGGGCTGTTTCAAAACATTTTCCATGTGGGGTTCTTGCCTCTGGAACACATACCCCTGTCCTTGTGCTAAAATAGCCTGAATTTGCTAACCTTCAGGTCATGTCCGTCTATTCTGGAGCCAGGCTGGATCGGTAGGTTATTGCATTTTTGATCAATTGTGTATAAGTGCCCAGAGTTGACAACTAAAGGAATAAATAAAACAAAGTACAGGGTCCACTTTCCCATCACTATCTCCAATTAATTTTACACACCTGCATTGACAGAGTGATTCCACTGGTAGTTTAAAGAAAGAAGAGGTTTGTTTACTGGATTATCTCACATACTTAAAGTAAAAAAAAAAAAAAGATGCTCAAGTACATATTGGAGTAGAAGAATTCACAGAGCAGCACTTGGGCTTGGCAGAGCCCTAAGATGCTGGAGTGGAGTAAGGGAGCTGATTTTTCTATCATCTTACTATTCTTTTCTTTGTTAATAAAACAAAATTCTGGGAACAGGGGAGTTTGGACTTGACACACGTTGTGGACTGTGTTTGCAGAGCAGGTGGGGGAAAGGCTCCTGCTCACAGTGATAATTCAATGTATGTCTCTGTGATTCTCTCTCTCTCCATTTGCAAAGTGAAAGAATAGGGGTCCATTCTCCCATTGATGTCTACACAGCTCCTATTAAGGTTAATGTGAGTAATATCCAGGTGTACAAAATTGACCCCCATAAATTTTACATACCATTAAAATACAGGGTTATTGAATTAGGTTTTAAATATGATCAGACATGATCATATTTAATGGCTAAGACACGTGTCTCTTAAATGGAGCACTTGTTATTATGAAGAAGCATGAATTCAGCACTGGGGGCCCGACTTGATTTACACCTGTGCATCTCTGCTGAAATTAAAGGGGTTGAAAGGGTGCAAGTCAATGAGGAATTTGGCCCATGGATCTGAGCTCCTGAGGTCTATTTTAAGTGGTTTGAATGACAGTTATAGAGGTTGAGCACTTTTCAAGCAAGGTGACAAATCTTGGTATATTACTTTTCTCTCTCTCTTTCCCCCCAGCACTCCAGGTTACATATTTGGAAAACGCATCATATCATTCCTGTTCCTTATGTCTGTTGCTGGGATCCTCAACTATTATCTTGTCCTCATTTTTGGAAGTGACTTTGAAGTGTATATAAAAACTGTAACCAACACCATCTCCCCACTGCTACTCATTCCTTAATTCTTTGCAGCATTAGCGGTTCAGTGTGCTTTACAGATCAATATCCAGAAGCAGCTATAATTCAACTGTTTAAGAAATGAACCTACAAACCCTTTTAGACTGCTGTAAATCTAAGGCTCTATGGGCTTTGTGGTTTGATTTAACCCTTTTCCTACAGTAAAATGATTTATTGTGACCAGTCAGTGTGCCCTAGGAAGGGTAATAACTTCCAATTAATTCTTCAGATTAAAAAGGTTTAAAAAAAATGAAACAACCAAAAAACCATTTCAGGTTGAACAAAACATTCCATTCTGATTTTAAGCACCTTTTCAATGGTTTAAATATAAAAAATTGAAGGCAATCTCAAAATGAAAGGTCATTTTGAATAGAAAAATCAACCTGTTTCATTTCAAAACGATTGAAACAAAACTCATCAACTTTTTGGAATTTTGGGTGGTTTTTACACAAAAAATTTGGGGAAATTGACATGAATTCGCAAAATGTTTTGGTGTCACAGAATCTTCATTTTTCAGCCAAAAAATGTTTTGGCCGAATTTCATTCATCTTCAGTTGCCATGAAAACCCAGAGCTCAATCCCGCAATCCTTACATATATACAATGTTCATTGCAGTCAATGGGAACCAAACCCCTAGTAGTGCATGACTGCAGTTTGGACCTGAATCTCATTTACATGAAAGCCTCTGTATATTGCCAGAGCAGGGTAAATTGCCAGAGGAGTGTACAGGGGTGTTAGTGTAAATGAGACTCCATTATCTCTGAGATTATTTTGTTTTTGTTTTTAATAAAGCAATCTAAAAAGATGAAAGTGGTTTGTCATGTCATCTTCATTTAGTGCTTGATCCATCGATGGCAAAACTCCCAGGGAAGTGAAGGGCAGGAGTTGTTAAATATGCATTCTTTAGATTGTGTTCATAGCT